AATTTCGCACTACATTTTATAAAATTTAATATCTAGGCATAATTTGTATTGTAGAATCGAAATATGGAAAACCATTGGTATATTATTTCAGAAAAAGTTCGATCTACATATAAATCTAATATATATGTTAAATCACGCTTTCGAGACATGAAAACCGCAATTCGAATTTTGTGTCAATCGGCCCAGTAGAACGGGAGTATAGAACTGACCTCCCCCTTTTCTTTTTCTTTTTTTTTTTTTTTTTTGTGCAGTGTACCATTTACAGTAGATATATTTACCGCAGATATACAGTAGATATATGTTTTCTTTTTGTAACAAAATTACACTGACCTTTTATTAATAAATAAATATATTTTAACTATTCTCCGCATAAAACGGGTATTTAAGATTAAAAAATCTGATGTGTACACCATATGACTTCCTTGTACGGAATATTAAATTATACACATTTTTTCTTGCATTTCATTTAAACTTATTGGATTGAATTTAATCTACGTCGCCGACAGCGCATAAACCACAATAGAATAAATGCATTCTTTAAAATTCACTCTAGTATTTGTTTACCATAGCGACACTCTGGCGCTAGATTCACTTAACAGTATTATATTTCGTTCATATTATAAATCATAATGCACACATTTTATATCATTTAAAGAATATAATTATGTAATCGTTACCACATGTTCTATTCAAATACTATAATAAAACTAGAACGATGTATAAAAGAAATTAAGCAAACAAAACAAAAAAGAAAAAATTTTTCACAGACGATTGAGTATTTCTCATTCAATTAATTCAGTTCTCACTTCGCGAGAAGGCAAAAATACATAAAAACTCAAAATATCTATATTAAAAATTACGAAGTAAATCTTAAACACTTATTTCCTCGAAAAAATTCCAGAAAGGATTAAGCATGATTTAATTAGCAATAATAAACGAAGGCGTTATCTTTGTTGTTGTGAAGCTACGTTTCTCTAGATTGGCAACAAATCCACTAGTCTGCTGGTGTTTCAAATGTAAACAAAACAATGGCCGCCCTCAATTTAAAAGGATTAATGGCTTAGCGGCAATTAAACAACTTTTTAAATTGTTGATAATTCTACAAATATTGCTATAGAGATTTACTAAAGGCATAAAAACCTTAACCGGAAGATAAGAAGCAACATTAATTCAATAATTTTTATAAGCAAAAAATGCACAATTTACAAACATATAAGAGTAAAGAAACTGAGATCACTGAGCCGGGTAACAGAGTGGATATATTTATAAATATATTTATATACGTTTGGCGCGGCCAATTGAAACCAAAATACGAGATGCACATGTACATGTTATAGTGGTCTTATATACAAAATTTCAACGTTCTGAGGCAACTCGTTTTTGAGTTATGCGAGATACTTACGTACATACGTCCGTACACAGGCCACGAAAAATTCTCTTCAGAAATCATTTTTTTAGTAGTTTTTTAGTAGTTCATTTCAAGTAGTTTTTTAGTTTTTTTGGAGGAAAAGAGTCTTTTATTCTGTCCTTACGTACAGATATCACGCAAAAACATCGTTAAATTGCATTCGATAGCGGTCAAAATGGATATTTTCGTTGAAATATGCTGCCTGAAACTTTTCGCGATTATAATACTTCCTTTTTACTTCGTACAAGGAAGTAAAAAACAGCTCTGAACTGTAACCAAACTCTTTATTCCCATCACATATTCAATAGAATGCTATTTAATTTGTAATATAAATGAAGATTTTACTATGAATATAACACAATCCTTATACATGGAACTACAACTCATATTGCTTCAAATTAACCAAATACGGTCTATCTGAACTTACATGTTTCCCCTCATCTGATTCCATCCATTTCCCTATAGATTTTACGCAGTCATTGTCTAAATCTGGAGAACTACGTTAGTAGACAATTCCGTTGATTCAACGCAAAACTGGAAGGAGTTAAAATTATATGCGGACAGTTATTAGGATGATTGTTCTGGTGCAGTTACGATTGGATGCGAAATTTCATAAATATTTACAATGGGTGGACAAGTTAGAAGATTATGTAACTTCTAGAGAAATTACTCTGCTAGCCATTATTGTAGCTGATAATAATAAGTAAATTTAATCAGCAAATCGCGTTACCAGTATTCAGCATTACTTGTGATTAGGAAGATTTTCATGTGGTTACTAACTGAACATTATCTAAAACTGTAGGAAATAACTTAATTATGAAAATTCACTACTTAATACATGTAGTTAGCAAATGCATTTAAAGCAATAAACAGAGAATTTCACATACTACAAAGTCATTTAGACAAAATTGAATTATTTTAGAAAGTGTCACTTAATACTGAAGATATAAACAAAATATAATATTTAGGCTATTTGATTTCGCATCCATATTCAAATACAAGCTGTCCAATACGAAGTAAAACCCATTGATTAGAGTTTTATAAAAAATCTGATGTGTACACCACATGACTTCCTTGTACGAATTATTAAATTATATGCATTTTTTCTTGCATTTCATTTAAATTTATAAGGTATTTCTCCACTTCCTTAGCGTGCCTTCGTGGTGTAACGGTAGCACGCTGTGCCGGTATTCCCGAGGTCCGTGGTTCGATTCCCGGCGAAGGCGGTTGCATATTTTTCATCTTTTCTGATTCCAATTAACCTAATTACTCTACAAACTTATTGGATTGAATTAAATCTACTTCGTCGACAGCGAACAAATCATAAAAGAATAAATGTACTCTTTAAAATTCACTATATTTGTTTACCATAGCGACACTCTGGCGCTAGGTTCACTTAACAGTGTTATATTTCGTTCATATTATAACTCAGAATGCACAAAATGTATATCATTTAAAGCATTATCTAATCGTTGCCACATGTTCTATTCAAATACTATAATAAAGTTAGAACGATGTATAAAAGAAATTAAGAAAACAAAACAAAAAAGAAACAGATTTTCACAGACGATTGAGTATTTCTCATTCAATTAATTCATTCTCACTTCGCGATAAGGCAAAAATACATAAAAACTCAAAATATTTGTATTCAAAATTACGAAGTAAATCTTAAACACTTATTTCCTCCGAAAAATTCCAGAAAGGATTAACCACGATTTAATTCGTAATAAAAAATGAAGGCGTTATCTTTGTTGTGGCGATGCTACGTTTCTATAGATTGGCAAAAAATGCACTACTCTGCTGTTTCAAATGTAAATAAGCAATAGGCCGCCATCAAAAAAATTATTAGGTTTAGCAGCACTTAAACACATTTGAAATTGTTGATAATTCTCAAAATATTGCATACAGATTTACTAAAGGCATAAAAACCTTAATCGAAAGATATGAAAAACATACTTCAATCATTTTTAATGCAAAAAATGTACAATTTACAAACATATAAATGTAAATAAACTGAGATCACTGAGCAGGGTAACGGAGTGGATATATATATAAATATATTTATATACGTTTGGTGCGGCCGATTCCAACCAAAATACGAGGTGCACATCTACATGTTATAGCAGTCCTATATACAAAATTTCAACGTTCTGAGGCTACTCGTTTTTGAGTTATGCGAGATACGTACTTACGTACTACATACGTTCGTACAGATCCCGCGAAAAATTCATTTTAAAGCAGTTTTATAATTTTTGTGGAGTCTTTCATTCTGTCCTTACGTACAGATGTCACGCAAAAATATCGTTAAATTGCATTCGATAGCGGCCAAAATGGATATTTTGATAATTTGAAATATGCTGCCTGAAACTTTTCGCGATTACAATACTTCCTTTTTACTTCGTACAAGGAAGTAGAAAGACGTAATATTATTAAGTAAATGCTCTGTTTAGTTGTAGAAGTGATCCGTTTTCATGTGAAGTGATCCGTTCCCATTTGTTGCTTCTTAAGACAAAAAAAAAAAAAAAAAAAAAAAAAAAAAAAAAAAAAAAAACTATAAAAATGACAACTAAATGAAGAAAGTGAGGGGAATGAATAAATAAAAATTAGCAATCAGAATACCGATTGGCCTAAAATGAGTTACGTAGAAAATTTTCAAATTTTGCATGCTCGATCGTCTTGTACGTTCTCGTCCACTTCTTTTATTTCACAGAGATTCTCCCTTTTGTATTTCACAATGTGTTTGTCACATGGTTTTAGATTTACATTCTTAATAGTAGCCATAGGAGAATGTACATCTGTCATAAGTCATTGTGTTGCCACTCTGAAAAGAGTAAAATATTTATACTTTAAATTTAACCAGGAAACTTGGTGATATAAGAAAAATTGTGTTGCCACTTGCAATATATATGCCTTTCGAATTTAATAAAACAAATTTAGTTATTTAAGAGAAATGTGTTGCCGCCCTTCGAATTAAAATATTTTTATATTTTATGCGGCAGTGTTTTGTCATTCAGAAAACGTAAGATATTTAATTCTTCTTTCAAATTTATTGTATTATTAATTAAAAAATTGAGCTATTTAAAAGCAGTAAACGAAAATTAATTTCAATTATAATTAATTTCTAACTAGAGCGGTGAAACTGCACTAACTGGATTCACAAAATAATCTCGCTACATATAAACGAGCGTCTGTTAAATCTTTGCACTCTTGACTTTCAAAACAAAAGAAAGGTCACTGTCTACTTAAGATATCGAAATTCCACCTCATGGGATCCGCATTCAGAACATTTACATTAGAAAGTTGTGTTTACGTCATCCATCATAGGTCATGTCGCCGTTGTTGTCTTCCCGCTGTCAGTGGAAGTGATACATGATAAGTAAGGAATTACATTTTCTTCGTCTTCGATTTTGTGAACATGAAGTTTGACTAATTCTGAAGTGCATTTCAAAATAGGGATAGTATCTTATAACAGCATGTGATAAAAAGTACTCGTTATAATAAACTTCAGCCGTTAACATCATCTATACATTTTCAAAGCAAAAGAAAATAACAGGAATAAAATCACACACTACAGAATAAAAAATAAAATTACTTTTCCAGATGTTTTTATTCCACGCAGAAGACAGACGATGACTATCACCCAGCTGAAAAGAAGGCACAGACAGAGATCCCACTTGATACCCCCAGGTTCCTCGATGCCCCCAGAAAGATCCAGAACATAGTTCCTGAAAGTGAATAAAATATAGCTTTGCTACAGAAAGAAGCATAATTGAAATATTGCAGCTATTGTGAATAATAATTTTGCTTGAAAATTGTCTTCACGAAATTTTAGAAGAATTTACTCAACTGCAATTGATACAAGCATTAGAAACTTTAAACAGGCCAACTGGTGGCCCAATAGACAAGACCACTGATCATTCCCAGCTATCCTAGGATTCGGAGTTGGGTGAATATGTTGCCAGTATGGTCGGTTTCGTAGTTTATTCGAATGTAACTTGAACATTAGCCATTATTCCTTATGAAGTCCTTCACGAAGGTATCCTTTTCCCTTTGCGCATTGCCTTTGTCTGCTCTGCCATTACTATTAATTTTGTGCTTAAAAATTGTAAACGAAGTGTGATAAGAAATACGTGAAATGAAAAAGTAATAAAAATATCTCTCCTAGATTCACTTGTATGTGTTTAGTGTAACTACGTATACTTAGATGAACCAATAAGAATGAGGAGATGAGCGATAACTAAATTAATATTATAATTCTTTCCAAACTTGCTCCAGGATATTCTCGATTACTATCGCCACAGCTCTAAAACTACAAGTTTTGGTATCATGGAGAATTCTAGACGAAGATGAAACGGAAGCATCCAAACATTCGCTATATATGATTTAAGTGTGTCCCCGACCAGTTTCTGACTAAAGTTACCGATAAAGCCATTCTCAAGAAAGGGTATATAAGTGTTATAAACCATGCAAAGAATGCAAGGGCCTATATAGACCTTAGCACACCAAGAAAGGAAAAAATAAACAAATTATAAGCAGAGAGATGCATTGATTTAGGCCTTTATTTGCGTTATTTTGCAATCGGAAACAATTAACTGAAGTAAAGACATCAAATTCTCAACCAAACGGAAGTTTGGTGGTAGCGTTTTGCCAATTCTAAGTCCGGAAACGATGCATACGTATAGGGTGATTCAGGGAGGTTTTATTAGGAACTTCAGCTGTTTGGTTCCTTAAGATAAGCAGATAAAACTATTCTTCTTAAGGGGACTCATACACCTTAAACCCCTTATGATCTTCGAATATGTGACTGTTGCAAGAATAGGGATATTTCATTTATTTTAAAAGCAATTACTTCCACCTTTTTACAGCTGACAATATAATATAACTGCTTTCTGAAATAGTAACCAGAAAGTTTGTGTTGCCACACATATTTTTGTAATTTAATCTTCTTTGTGACAATATATTTCGCCATGTTTCCACCTTGCGCGCATGATATTTTAAAAATCGCTAATGGTACATACTTGAAATTGTATGGAATTCTTTATATGGGCACTATTTTCTAACTGAACCAAACAATCTGATGAATATTTTAATACTGAAAAATTTTATGGACGAAAACATTACAAATTTTGTTAATAAAATACCTTTTATAAACTCAACTCAAAATAAAATAAAAATTTAACATGAAATTTTTAGAATTTTAGGTTCACAGTAGTTTCCAATTGTTATAAAAGCTATATATTAAATATGGAATTAAATTATGAAACAGAATGTTTTAAACTGTGCGCGCAAGTTGGAAACATGACGAAAAATGCTGTCACAAAGCGGATTAAATTATAAAAATATTTGTGGCAACACAAACTTTCTGATAACTATTTCAGAAAGCAGCTATATTATGTAGTCAGCTGTAAAACGTTGGTAGTAATTGCTTTTAAAAGAAATAAGTTATTCCAATTCTTGCAACAGTCACCTATTCGAACATCTTATGGTTTTTAAGGTGTATGAGTCCCCTTAAAGCATATTTATATTTATGCCTATGATTCCACAAGAATAGTATTATAAAGCTGTTTACTACTGCTGTTTAAAAACAACGTGTACTATTTTTTTAACCATCGTATACAAAGCATTTCTAATAAATTGCATGAATAAGTGTCCACTGAACAATTTCTGGTCGATTCGCTTTACCAGTTTAAGCAGTGAATTAAATAAAATATGTTTTCGGACTTCTACAGTTCAGGTCATATTACACCTTTGCATGGAAACACGCAAAATTTAAATTTTTCATATAAGCCTCTTGGGAAAAAATGAACCCGAGAAAAATGCTTTTTGTGGACAAATTAGTCAAAAAGAAATTATATAAACAAAAACACTTGAAATACCCCTAATCAATATTTTGAGTGACCACACAAATATTCTCATATATAACTTTCTGGATGCAAATTTCTAAATGATACCCTTTATGTTAGGGAAAACAACAATATATAAGGAAGTTAAATTCGCATTTGGTAAGAATTCTAAATTTCAAGACATTTGTATGCAGCATAATTCAATACATTAAAAGTTCTAATTAGTTTTTCCCTTGCGAACGATTATAATTTAAATCACATAATATTGATGTTCGTAGGGATAACTGTTCATAATATGGACTTGTATTTTCTTTAAAAAATATCGAAGCAGGATAAGAATAAACTTACTCATTGTTAGTTTCATCATAACCGCATAAGAATTTAGATGTCATACCTTATTTTCTTAATTCTTTAAATTGCAAGTATGAGTCTGCGTCTATTTCGATCGTAAATAATTTAGTCATACTTCCAAAGCACAGTATATAACCCCACATAGATCATTAAGTAGTAATGGCGCAGAAATTTTACTCAGTTGCAATTTTAAACCAGCGTGCACATATTTGTCTTTAAAACTGAATATTTTAACAATTGTAGGAATTTTTATGCAAAGCATTGCTAGATCTTAGGTCGCATTTTATCTTTCATTTTAAGGTCTACGACCGCTGCCTTTACCTGTACACATCACTCTTTCCCTAGGGCGTACGAGTTGTATATATATATATATATATATATATATATATACGAGGGCATTTCGAAAAGTAAAGATACACCGTACGCCAGAGGAAAAGAAAAGTCTTGGTGAGCCTTGAACCGTTAGCTTTCTCCTCGCGGTCGTTCGGCATTTCAACTTGATTCTGGTTGGAGTAGGTCGTGTTTAAAATGGCTGCGCCGATTCAGAATCCCGCTAAATGCGAAATGCGCTCCTCCATACGTTTTCTTCATGCAAATGGTCAGCGACCAGCGGATATTCACAAAAAATTGTTTCTGTTTATTGGAACATTATGAATCGACAAAATGTAACGAAAAGGTGTCGTCATTTCTCTGAAGGTAGGACCGATGTTCATGACAAAATAAAGAACAGGTCGGCAATCTTCAGAGAACAGAGGAAGCAATTCGTGCGAATAGACGTCTCAAATTGAAAGAATTGCATCAGATCATACCGGAAGTGTCAATGACAACTCTTTATGAAGTTGGTGACTGTCAAGTTAGGGTACAGGAAATTGCGTGCGTGCTGGGTTCCAACAGGCGGCAACCTTCTATGACTGTGGGATACAAAAGCTTGTGCAACGACTTAGCAAATGTTTGAATAACGGGGGTGATTATGTCGAAAAATAATAAATAATCCAGTTAATAAGATGTAACTGACGTTTTCTAAATAAACGTTTTTTTAAGGAATGCGAGCCATTGTATCTTTACTTTTCGAAATGCCCTTGTACATGAATTCAACAGAGTGAAATTCTTTTGCACTTATGTGCGGTGGTCTCGTGAGCAAAAAGTGAACATATCTGTCTTGCAGGTGATTTGGTTATCTTTCTATTGAACTTCATTTCTATTTCATACAGCATTTCTTGAAAGCATTTTACACAGTATGTATCAAAGCATTGGTTAAATTTTTTTTAAAATTTCCAATGCCAAGTTAACAGGACAACCGATATCTTTACATACTATATTTACAACAAAAAGAAACGCACATAGAAAGCAATTAACATAAAGATGGAAAGGCATCGGTTAATTCGTCAACCTAAATCTGGAAGTCAAAAATCGCTCTCATGAAGACACAGGAAGTAAAGCAGGACAGGAGACAAGGTGAGAAATGCCAAAATCCTTTCCAGAGTCGCACAAGGGACAAGCAGGATCCGGAGCCAAATAAATTCTATGAAGGTATTTTTGAAGACAATCATGGCTAGAAAATAACCATAACAGTGCAACCGATTTATGACGAAGCCATTCAAGAATATCTTAAATGTGATTGAACTAGGGCTTCTGACGACTTCTAGCGGCAACGTAGCGAGAGAAGGAACACATTATTGTTCTTTTAATTATCTTATTAGATTGGTAGGCCAGTCTCTGGCCATTTATCTGTAAAACAGAAGCCTCCATTTTGCCAGAAAGTGATTGAATAAAAAGTAAAATCAACTATAATACACTAAAACAGTTGCAAAATTTCTCTGGGTCAGTCCGTAAGTTCGTGCACATTAAGAGTATGAGTGGAATTATGACGCATTTACTAAAACAATACAATTTTGAACCTGTTGAAATTTGTCATCGTTTGACTAACATATTATTCAGTTCATCACCAACTTCCGTAAATGTCGAACGCATTTTAGTACCCATAGAAGATGAATATAGATAATCAGTACAAGGGCGCCGTGCTACATTTTTTATTTTCGAGTGGTGAATTGGCCAGGTTTGCAGCGATAAAAATGAATAGTGTATACGGTGAACACACTGTTAGTGTAAGGACTGCCCAGAAATGGTTTAAAAAATATAAAGTTGGAAAAAGCAGCATGGTGGATGAACCCCGATCAGGACGTTTTGAGCTGTTAGCACCAAATCAAACGATTCATTCAGAAGTTTATAGTAAACAACTTTGCCGTCTAAACCCAGAATGGGTTCAAAAAACGCCCACGATTGGTGAATATCAAGAAAGTGTTGTTTCATCACGATAACGCTAGACCGCATACAGCTCGAACAACCCCGCAAAAAATGAGTGAATTTAATTGGGAGCTTTTGCCACATCCTGCTTACTCCCCAGATATTGCCCCAAGTGATTTTCAGTTACACCGTGCCTTACAAAATTTTTTACTGTGAAAACAATTAAATTCTAAACAGGGATATACACAATGAACAAGTCTTTTTGCATCAAAACCAGAGTCTTTCTACGACAATGGCATAAAAATGCTGCCTGTAAGATGGCGAGACATTGTAGATAATGGAGGAAAATATATAATTGATTAAAATGTTAAATTGTGTTTTTTTATATTATTTAAAAATTTATCAAAAAAATCGGCACGAATTTATGGACTGACACAATATAAATAAATATGTAATAAAAATATACAAGTCCTAGCATATTTGAGTTCACACATCCGTTTGGTTTAGAAAAACAACTGTTTGGAACAATTTTTCTGCTTTCACAACAGGGAACACACAGGGTAAACTGGTTCTCCAACTACAAACAAGCTGATAGCATCCGAAGCTAATAGCTGATTGGTTGAAAACGCACAACTTGCACATTTTTTTTTTCAAAGGAAGGAAAAAAAAATCGCGCGTCTTTCTGTCAGTAGTAAATCAGGCAGAAAAATTGTCCGAAACAGTTGTTCGTGTGAAACAATTGCGTGTGTGATATGGGCCCAAACCGGGAATCCCGAGACGGAATGTTGACGCATACCGCTCAATTAATGATCTCTAATACATAATTATGAGCAAAGACTTTACGAGCTTTGTTAAAGTCTATACTTATTTTGTCACACGACATAGATGTTCTTGACAGTGTAGATGTTTTTAACATTATATATGTATGACAGTGTTTTGTACTAACCGCGTAGACTATGATGCGACGGGCTTTATTTTGATATCTCTCTAATAAAGGTCGATATGAGCGAGCTGTTGCTGCCCTGGCTGATGCTGCGTATAATATTAGGTAGGTAGGTAGGTTACGGAGGACTGGAACGCCTGGTGTCTAACAGAGGTAAACAGGCATGTGTTCCAAACCCTCCTCTAACTACGGCAAAAGCTTCCTGGAACCACACGAGGCTGCACCAGGAGATTATTGAGGTTGTCAAAGGGAAGTACATGGCCTTACAAGGGCATTAGTAGGATTGTATTACAGTTTGAAGAGGCAAGCTGTCGTGTTACAGATAGTAGGTAGTTAAACTAAAAATACTTGGATAATAAGACGTACGCATAAAAAAAAACATAAAAATGCATAGGCAACAATACACAAAGCACAATGCGTAAAAATGCATAAACAGAAAGCACAAAAAACAGGTACATACACATAGTCACTTAAGGCACAAAAAGATAAATGGAGTACATGAAGTCACATGAAAGCTGGAGCACAGTGTTAGTGTAAGGCAGTTCTGTTGTATATAAATACAGGTACATCTTGAATGAAGAACGATGAGTTCATGAATACTCATGGGTGCAGAAGAGTGCGGTTAGATTGCTAAGGCGTTGATTATTGTAGCGTCGCTAAGAAACATAGATAAAAACACTGATAAAAGGCACGAGGATGTTGTAGCACTAATTATTGGGCAGTGCCCCAGCAATGTGTGCACCGTGAGGCACACAAGCGTTCACTAACACTGCATAAGAAGATGTTGTTCACATGCTGTTGAAGGGATTACACACGTATCATTATGGAGGCATAACACATCTCACTAAGGACATGCCACATATTTGCGAATTGTTAGTATTGCCACTTTAGATTGTGGGCAGGGGAGCTTAAACACACAGTTGTGGTGAAGCTCAGATATTGTAAAATTCACTGGACTAGTCTTAGAGCTTATCGTCAGTACACCAGAGCGTCATTTTAGCACGGTAGGCAAGGTCTGTGCCCAATGCCGCGATGGTATTCATGATGCTGGAGATTGAATTAACCGCTCCTTTGTGCGTTATAAGGGAACCGGTGATAGGTGTTCCTATTATTTGTAGGTAGCGGAAGATGGTGTGCAGCCGTCAAAGGACATTCAAATACGTAATGGTCTGGTGACCCTTCTGATCCAAAGACACAGATATCTGTATTTGAGATGCCGTGGCGATTGTAATAGCTGGGAAATGGGCCGTGACCCGTGCTGAAGTAGGTGAGAGGTGCTACGGCAAAGAGTCGATCGGTGGAAACTTTCGGGAGGTAGGTGAAAGTCCGTCTGCCTGTATCGCATTCGGTCCACTCACGTTGCCATTGGTGCATTCTTTGCTCTCGTAGGAGGCCCTTTAGATAAGAGCAGGGCGCAGGTACGGTGATGGGTTGGGCTGTCGGGTTGGAAATTGCATCTTTGGCGTATAATATTATGGGTCTAACAACTGATATACTTGATGACTGATGTACTGATATACTGATGACTTGAAGATACTGTATTTTCTTTCTATTCAGTGGGCCCACCAGCGGCCGAGCGGTAAAGTCGCTGAACACTGGTAGTTCAGTCCGAGGTTCTAATCCCGCGAACGGGCTGGCTGCATGGGCGTTTTTCGTGGTTTTCCCCATGTGTAACGTGTATACGAGTCAGTTACCCTTAGAAAGTCCTCCGCGAAGGCATCCCTCCCCTTAGGCAGATAGCCCTAGTGTGCTTTGCCATAATTAAATAAACCAAACCAAACTTTCTATTCCATGTTTAGGTTAGATTTTCTCCCTGTTATGGGATAGATGCGGATTTAAGTTTCAATACCTTTA